CAAGAGGGTCCTTTGGAAATACGCTAACATTTAATATTAACAGAGTATATCAAATAGTAAAGGTGTTCTTACCTTTGCAGTCCCTCATAATAATGTAAGATATGTTTTGTTGGAGAAATACTGAAACTCCCTTTAAAAATATAATATGTTGAGGATATAAAGAAAATACAACCTATATTTGATATGTGAGAGCTAAATTTTAGTTTGAAGATCTAAAAGTTGTGGCTGAATTTAAAGCCTAGCCTTGACTAACACTGACCAAACTCCATTTCTGTATGTCTCCAACATTTCTTTAAAATTCATGCAATGTGTATAGTCACAAATTATTTTGCCATTAAATGCATAAGAGTACTGTGATAAAAATGATATTAAAAAATCTTAAGGCACTCTTCACTAAAGTTAGAAATAGATTCATTATTCTTGAAGTGTGTATATATCAATCTGTTTTCCCCTTCTTTCTTTCTTGCCTTGTTTCTCTTTCCTCCTTCCTTTACTCTCCCAAACTTGTCAGATAGACAGAGATAAAGCACAAATATCTGCACATGTTACAGGGAAAAGGAGATTATATAGCTTACAAACTCTCATAAACAGCTTGATATAATTAAGCCTTGTAAATTTCATGGTCTAATAGCAGCCAAAGCTTATTTATTGGTTATATTTAAGACTCACCATGGATAGTTTAATCTGTGGTTTATTATCATGTAGAAAGTAAAGCAAACACCACTGCTAATTTACATTATTTCAGAAAACTTTGGTTGATAGTCAGACATCTGCTTTGACCAGAATGAATTAAACTAACAACAAAACACATTGTCCCAAAGCATCTTAATGGCACTACATTTCTGACTTTGAATAAGAACCTACACTCTGGTAGGATTATCAGTATCCAAAAACATTGTAAAACATGTGTTTTAGGTGACACTTATATATGTCAGGTAGTTGGCCTTATAATTTTTAAAATACAGAATCATGCCTTTTAAAATGACTAATGAAAATAAAATGATGAGTGGGTTAGGAGATAGAAGAGAATAAACTTTAGAAGTAATATTTTCTGTTGTCTTATTCTGAGAAGATAGTTTATCCTGTTTTGAGAAATTATCTTAATTTGTTTGTCTCTTTTCTGAGTAATCAATGAAGGGGTATTTACTGGATATGTAATTGACTTTTTAAATGGGAGAATGATATTGGTAACACATTTATGATTAATTTATTGATGCTTCTTACATTTGGGAATAGAACATTTGTGGAAAAGAATAGCAATCTGTCCTTATGGCTTAGAACTACTTCTTTAGGCTGTTGAGACCAAGAAACTTATTGATTCAGTAAGTCTGCATTTTACAAATAACGTTATGTTGCTTTTAGTATTTGAAAAAAATGCTGTAGAAATAATTTAAATGACATATATGTGAATTGTATGAATGAAGCAAAAGACAAGTCAAGGTCTGTGTTATATGACAAGTTCTCCTTTGAATTCTAAAATATACTTGACATTGAAAGGATTTTAGTATTCAAATAAAGATGTTGTGTAGTCAGAATGCATTTAGTTTTTCAACCCTAGGGCATATCTTTTGTTATAACACTTTAAAAAAAATAAGATGTATAGATCCCATGTATTCTAATTAGATTTTATGTTTAAAAGACAATTGAGGTATATTTTAAAAATCAAACAAGAGTGACCTATCAAAATTACTAATTTCACAAGTTCAATGTTATTTGGAAGATATGTTTCAGATAAACCACATTATTTTTCAATAGCAGAAATACTTGGTCATTTGTAAGCTGATTATTTTTTTTAGTGTGATAAAATGTTTCTCTAGTTTTGTCTAATAATCTGACATGGTCTTCTCTTAACCAGTAACCACATGTTGAATTGTGTTCAAATGATACTTAGTGGCCAGATTGATAGAATATTATGAGGTGGAATATACGTGCCCTGGCATATATGTGTATAAATGTGTGTGTGTGTGTGTGTATGTGTATGTATGTATGTGTATATATATATATATATATATATATTTCCCATATAAAACCTGTCTTCACTTCAAAGCCAAGGTGAATTGTTTCAATATTGCACAATGAACTGGGGCAGGAATCATGCAAATTATTAAGGTAGGTAAATGGGAAAGAGACAAAATAGACAAAGCTCTGAGGAAGCCAGCATGGAGCCAAAAACAACAGCAGGTGTGGCCATATGGCAATCAAATTAGAAAATGCATTCTTGCCACACAGTCTTCCAGGAGATAGTAAAGCCCAGACAGCCCTCATGGAGGGCTGATTTACTTAGTATATTTTAAGTATTTCATATTGCCTCTCTCACTATTCAATTCTGAAGAGAATTTAAATGTATTGTACCAAATAGATATTGAAGAATTTTCTTAAAGAATAAAACAATTTCTCATTTTACTTTCACATTTAGGGGATATCATTATGCTGAAAACACATTTTCAAATAGAGCATTTGCTAAGCTGAGATTGTTTTCAAACAAAGATTTGTATGGCCACAATTTAATGATATTATTTTATATAAACATAATTTTGGATAATTTTGAAATTTTTGAATTCTGTAGTTACTAATATTTTAATTAAAGTTATTTGCATAAGTCCTTAACCTGTGAAATAACATTTTTCAGATCTTGAAGCATATTTTTCTATAGAAAGAATTTACTAAAAATTTGCTTCATTTCTCATGTTTCCTTTCCAAAACTTGTTTGACCAACAGACAAGGGCTAGGCTATTAGCATTTATTCTTAAGTGTACTATTAGTATTGTATCATGTTGCTATAATTTCAGCAACATTGTTGTGCTGTGTGTGTATGTGTGGGTATGTGTATGTACTCTAATTTGAGAAAATGTCCCTACTTTTTTTTTTTTGAGAACCCAGAGACATCCATGAAGTTCTGCCTATTCTCCACTGGAGATACTATATCACTCAAACACATACACATACCCTTTTAATAGAGTGGTATAATGTAATATATCCTTAATAGTATATGGTAGAATGAAGACAATGATCATATTTCCACTTTAAGTCATCCAATTTGTTTCTGCCTATAGGCAGCACCACACTTCTGTTTTCTATGACCAACTTTTTTGGACACTACCACAATAAAAGGATACTGATTCTTTAAACAAATGAATGCTTAATAACTCATGTATTTATTGCTTCACTAAATGTATTTTATCAAGCACAATTATTATGTTTATTTAGAATAAAACAAATTATTCATGTAAGACCTATGAATTGGTAGTCTCTTATTGGAATGGCAATTTTACATCTCTTGAAATTAGTTTACATGTATTTAACTTAATAGAGGAAGGCAAGTTGTTGTTTTGAAATTGACTTTTCATGAGTCCCCCTCCCCTTCCTTATTTTGCCTTAAAACCTGGCTTTTAATTTTTTCTATAAAAATTTAAAAGTTATAGAAAAGTGAAAAATATATAACCAGAATAAAGACCACTGACCCCATCATTCAGATTTTAAACAACTGTTTGGTATATATACTTACAATTAGCAGTAGAGTAATCCCTATGATAACGCCAATTTGATCTACTTCTAATCCTTTCTACTCTCATGTAAGCAATGACAACTAACAAGACTTTGATTTTTTTTTTGCTTTCCAATAAACTATTGCAATGTATGTATCTATCAAAATTATAAAATATTAGTGGGTAGTATTCATATGTATAGTGTGTATGTATGAAATGGTGTATATATGCACCATATATATGTGTGTGTATCTGTGTATTTAATATGTATATGGTATAGATTCTTCACCTTACCTTTTTTTTTCTTTTCTTTTTTTGGTGTTGTTAAGGATTGAACCCAGATCCTAGCACATGCTAAACAAGCATTCTACCACTGAGCTACATCCTCAACTGATTACTCAACTTTTAAAATTCATTGTGTTGGCATGTAGATCACTTGTTTTTTAAAACTGTTTTATAACATTTCATCATAAATAGATAATAGTTTATCAATTAATTTATGGATGGGTATTTATAGATTCCTCTCTTAATACCTTTTCTGATATTCTATTATTGCTTAGGTTTGAGTAACATTTATATAATCACAGGAATATTGAAGTCCTTAGGATTTGAAGGTTTAGACCACATAGCAAAACACTCTTGAATATGTATTACTGGAGATATTTTCTTTTTAATTATTCCTCAATATAGCAAAATGGCAAATAATTTAAGATATTATTTTTAACATCAAATGTAATTTGTTCAAATTTTACATTAATCTTTCTTATAACTAGTCACTTCCACTTTGTCTTCCTGTCATCCTGAAGAATGAAATGTAATTTCCCAGAGGCTTTAAGAATTGGAGGAGTATTAAATGTGGCTGAAATTAAGTGATTAATAATTTACTTTTAGGCCATGAATCAACTTCATGGGATGCTAAGGATCATTTGCAACCCCAGAAGTATGGGCAGTAACAATGCACTTTTTAAGACTAGAGAACTCTCAAAGGTTGACTGCCCAACCTAATTAAACTTCAATCTTCTGAAACCAAATTTATTTCTTTTTTGTACTGAATTTCCTCAGATCTTCTTGACAGGAAAATGTCACTTTGCCTGACAGCTGATAGACAGGTTATGTAGCTCCGTAATTGGAGAGAAAAGGATAGCTTAAAGCTACTTGTCTTAATGGCTATGTGTATGGCTTTTTCTTTCCTTTTTTTATTTTCTTTTTTTCTTCCTTTCTTCCTTTTTTTTTTTTTTTTTTTTTGAGGTTTCTATGACAGACACAAAAGGCCTTAGCAAAAAGGCCCACTGCCATTTTTTTTCTGCTTCCTCCAGGGGTAATTATCTTACTCCATCAATAGTGCTGTCAGAAATTGGGCACATAATTCAGCATTTAAATGAACAAGCAATGTAATATTTCCTGTCTCCCAGTGGAATGCTTTGCAGCTCACATTCTTCTCTGTCACTTGCTCTCTCTTGATGTATGTCCCATGCCTAGTCCTTGAATGCCTCTCTCCCTTGTGTTTCATTGCAGATGTTGGCTCCGACTTGACACCTACTTCATTTGGAGTTTTATAGGACCAGCGACCTTGATAATTATGGTGAGAACTCCTAATTAACTATGTGTTTCCCAGGTCAAGAAATAAAACTTTCACTATCCCTATACTAAATATGTTTAATTTACATAGGTTAATTTGGGGAAAGCATGTACTTATTTGACCCTATGTAACTCAAGCAATTAGACAGTCATTATAGTCTGCTTGTATATTATAAAATAGTTCATCAAAATCAGTGGGAAAAGAAAACAAGCATTTGCAAGAGTTTATGTCATGTATTGCTACTCAGAAGTCCAATTCATCATAATCCCTTTGATTTTTATAGATAAAGAGTGATGGCTATAAAGGTGACCACAGATTTTTTTGTATTCTTTTTCTTTAAGATAATGTGATAATTTGAATTGAGAATGGACAAGAATTGGAAAAGTAGGATAATACCAGACTATTCCTTCCAGTTTTGTTTTTATATAAACTTTTAAATCTTTAAAATTCAGAAAGATTTTACTTAAAAATGGTACAACTTAATTAGGAATGCATCCTAGAATAATTCTTCCTTTTTTATTTTTAGTTTCATGATATCTTGATTTCTAATATTTATATTACTTTAGATAAAATTATCGGTATCATTTTTTTCAAAAATACAAAGTTATTCAATTTTAGAAGTAAAATATTAGCCCTACGACTGAATAAAATATAGTTCTACAATTTTTTTTTTTATCTGAAACCTTTAAGTCCAGATGTATTTTGGATTTTAAAATGTTTCAGACTTTGGAAAGGCAATATGGTACATATAATGCATATTACATGACATCTCTAGTGGGCACTATGCAATTGCCTCAAATTTAACACATTGACCATTACTCATAGTTCTGGCTAGGTAGTACTCTGTAATCAAAGAGCAACATTTTAACAGGAAAAAAAGAAAAATAAAAGGCAGGAAAAGTAAGAGCAAGTATAGTAATGACTATGGACAACCTTATGTCAAAACAGATCAGGTTTTTCTACCAGGTGGAGTCAGTTTAAACTTTTCATCATCTAATGAATGTTTTTTTTAACTTTCACTTTTGATAGTTTTTTGAATTTAGGGATGATTGATTTTAAAAAATTATGATGCTGTATTATAGAATTTCAGTTGGATTTTTAATTTTGACTTTCCTAGTCCCTACCAGTCCCAAGTTGTGGAAAAGATAAACCAATCAAGCAGTAAAGGACAATTCAATATGTGATTTTCTGTAGAGTATTCATGTAGGTAATATAGGTAATTTATACTGGGGTGTTTTGTTCTAACTCATATATTTTCTCTGGTTTCAGTTATATAACAATATCTTGAGGATTCCCTCTATTTAATATTTGTTTGTTACAGCATTAGCAATTAATCAGCATTTTCTAATTTTTTGGCATAATCTATTCAAATATGATCCCTGTTGATCTTAGTATTTATATTTTTTATAATATTACATTTGAAAATGTATCCCTAAATAATAAATTTGGAGATATGCTTCATACATATGAAGTACAGAAATAGTGTTCTTAGAATAATTATTGCTTTTTGTTTGTTTGGTTTTTTAAAAAACATACACTAGACTTTGAGTTATTTCAGAATTTCCACAGCCTCTTCCTAATGGCTGCTGATTTTATATTTATGTGTATTTGGCATAGTAGTGCTGTGTAACTTAGTGGTATCCTGATTCCCCAAACTGGCTTCTTGCCTTTGCTAAAATACTAAGCAGTCATCTGTGATCCAATTCCTTTAAAAGTGTACTGAGAGCTAATTTCCCAGAACAATTCATTTGTTACAGAGAATAGACTTGCTTTTTTTTTTCTACCATGGTTATGCTGCATAACATTACCTTTTGCATTCCAGCTTAATGTAATCTTCCTTGGGATTGCTTTATATAAAATGTTTCATCATACTGCTATACTGAAACCAGAATCAGGCTGCCTTGATAACATCAAGTAAGTGATTTTAATTTTTGTTTTCTACAGATGACCTTACATTTGTACTATTATACTATCCTGCTTTTTCTTGCATCGAAATAATATGGCAAAATGATATTGAAGATCAATGTACTGTCTTTCCAGTATTTGACCATTTATTTATTATTGAAGTGAACTGATATACCTGAAAATAAGTATAATGAAGTTATCTCTTCAAAAATACACTTTTTCCCTCTAAACCCTAATTTAAAGTAGTATACATTTTTAATACCTATATTCACTTTGTCCTGAAAACAAGCAGAAAGCTTCTATAACAGGGCAGACTGTGATTTTGTAGAGCAATAGTGCATTGTTTACCCTGGGCTCCACATTCCCCATCAGGGCAATGTGCCCAGGGCTAGATGGTGGTTCCTACAGGTATCATAAGGGGAAATTTTACACCATGGGAGAAAACCCCAGAAATTATGAATCTGCTGTTTAAATAGGAGCGGTTATTTAGTTGTACCCCTCTCCTGAGGGAGGGAGAGAAACCTCCCAAATGTAAACAAGTGAGATTGAGGATCCCTAATCTGAAATGTTTGGGAACAGAAATATTTTAGTTTTGAAGTTTCTCAAATTTCAGAATATTTTTATAGACTTCACTAGTTGAAAGTCCCTCATCTGTGTCAAAAACCTAAAGTACTCCAAAATCTGAAAATTTTTGAGCATCATGTTTGAATTTTGGAGCATACAAATTTTGGATTTTCAAATAGGGATGCCCAACCTTTTCTTTGAAATATAAAGATATGGCTTAGTGCTTTATCCTCTTTGAAATATTAATGCAACCTCCTGGAAGGTAACTCTCTCCAGAAGTTTCTTTCTGTTCAATCATCTTTTCATTTTCAAACTTTGTCCTTTACACTGATTCCATTTTCTATGCTCTCCATGTAGAGATATGAAAATGTTTACCTTACTTTTTAACACTACTGAAAATTTGATTTATACAAAAAGTAGCTGGTTTACATTTTCTAAGAAAAAATAGTCGAATTCCTAGTGTAGCAAAAAAATTCATCTTCTTTGCTTAGAGTTCCCAACATTTGAGAAAGACAGTAATTTTGAGATGTGATTAGCCATTTATCTTTGATATAATAAATTCAAATTGCATTTCATATAATTTGCCTATATTGTGTATTAATTTAGATAAACAATTTCATTAAATGAATATCCTTTGAGAAGTTTTGTGAGATCAACTGTGACTTTTGTATGCTATTGACGTTATCCTTAAACAACTTCAGACAGCAGTTATGTCACCCATTTTCCATCTTTCTACATTCACTTTCTGACATAGTTTCTGGTCCGTATAGCAGTTCCTCAATGAGTGTTTATAGGAGAGCATAATACACTAAATGTGTCAGTGACAAATTTATTGACATTAAGTGGAAAAATAAAAAATCATGGCACAAACTAGGATTTATCTACTAGGATTAGTAACCTTTGTGATTCCTAATTTTGGTTTGTTGAGATAATCATCATAATATCATTGAATTATGTGCAATTAAACTTTCTTTCTAAAATACAGTGTTAGTTCCATACACTCACTGTTCCTACTGAATTTAGATAAGTTACATAGCCACATAAAATATATTTTCTTTATTATGTCATACTTTTCTCAAATTGGTAAAAATTACATTTTAAAAACAAGTAATTATCATTTGTTATTTTTTAAAGTACCATCAGAAAGAAGTTAATGAACTTTGATATCTATGTAACATATTCTGTCAGGTTAAAAATTAGAAAATTGGCTCATTCTTTAACCTATTCTTCAAGTATTCTTGTTAGGAATTTCTTAACTTTTTGTCCAGTTTTGGAAAAGTAAAGACCTTAACTTACCCTGAACTTTAGAACTTGTGCTCTGTATGGATAAGCATTTTAAAGGATTAATTTGTTCATCATTTATGTATATTTATTTGGGTAATGTGGGTTGATATTAATATTTAAAAGAGCAGTCAAATACACAGAAGTCAATAATTACATTTAATGGCATTGATGGCATGAAGCTTTATATTATACAGCAAAATAAAATCTTAAATGAGAATATCTTGATTTGAATTCTGTCTAAATTATTTGCTTTTTTATAGCATCTGGAAAGTGTTTAACTTTGCTGAGTCTTCTTTTCATCTTCACAATGGTACAATAATGAAAGTGAACTGATTATCAAATGAACAGAGGAATATAAAGAGGTTCTGATGATGCTTCTCAAAAATTTGACAAGGAGAGAAATCGGATAGTTGTTGGAGTATAGAGAATGGTTTTAGATGAAAGAAACATGAATAAGGATATACTGATGAGAAAGAACCATTAAGGAAGGTTAAGAATATAAGCAAGGAAGTAATGGAATCACTGTAGTTATGACTTGAATTAATGTAGGGTATGCATCTAGAACCATGAAAGAGCATTTCTATTCCAGCTGTATTCCAGGAAGAACACTTCCACCAAACTAGGAGAGACTTCTTCCACTGAGAATGGACGAAATGAATAAAAATAGATGTGGTACTGTGGTAGAACAGTGTAGGACTGTGAGTGACTTAAGGGATTTCTACCTACTTTCATCAAAAAAGTAAGAAAGATGGTCTTCTGCAGGTTAAGGGGAATTACCGAAGAGAGATTTGAAAGGCACGTCAAGAAAATATTCCTTAATATTTTCCAAACTCTGAAGGATAATTCATTTTCTTAAATACTTTTTGTTAACTATTTAAGAATGGATTGGAAAGAAATCAAAAGGATACAACCAAGAAAAAAATTAGTATTTAAGAATAAAAATAATTTTAAATATTAGCCAAAACATAAAATCTATACTTTTTTAACAAGCAAAATTATCTATATAAAATGTGTTTGGACATGATATGAGTGCTGTGTGAGTGTTTTAAAGATAAAGTTTTATTTTATCTGTAAATCTTTACTTTTTTATTATTTAGTGAACATGAAAGGGCATAAAAGTTTGTTTTCGTTATTTTTGGTTTTTATTTTTAGTTTTTTAAATGTATTTTTGTAAAGTGATGAACAACATGGACCACATGTTCAGTATATTGACGAAAAAACTTCAAATATAAGGTCTTTGGGAAGTCTTTCTAAAATAATTCATTCATCAAATCTTTATTGCTCTTGATAGTTTCTCTCTCTCTCTCTCTCTCTCTCTCTCTCTCTCTCTCTCTTTCACACACACACACACACACACACACACACCTCCTTTATCTAAAATATTCTTGTTTCGCCTTATTTTTCCTGTTAGCATTTGCTTTAAGCCACTCTCTTCTTTGGCAACATCATGGCAGTGGTCTAATTTCTCTACTCAGATTCTTGCTCCTGCTCTCACCAGCTAGAGAGATCTCTTGAAAACGTTAAATCCAGTCATGCAAGTATTTGGGGTAAATCTCCCCAAAGAGTCCCATTACTCTTAAATTCCACAGTCCCAACACAGTTTATTGAGCCTTCCTGATCTGGTATCCCTTTCTTCTTTTACCTTCATGTTGTGCCATGGACCTTTGGCTGCTCTAGGTGTGCTCTCTTTTGCCCAAGTCTGATCTCTGCTGTTTCTCTATTGATGTTTTCTTCCCTAACACTATGCATGACTGACTCCTGTTTAGCCACAGTAATTTAAATATTATTTCATTATTTTCAAAAATAACATAATTATTCTTTTATTCTAAACTAACTTCAGGGTCATCATAATAAATCCCTTTCATGTAAACAGAGAACATTTGTTTTGCTGACTCATTGCTATATTAATGATATACTCTCAAATAAAATAAACAATAGAGTGAAGTATGATAGTAACATGATTACAAAGGAAATAAAGTATACCAAATCTCAGGTTTATCTAAAAAAGTAATTAAATTGAATAACACATGTTATTTAACACATGTTAAAATGAATAACACATGCTGACTGCTTACTTGTCATTTGTCTCTCTTCATCAGAATAAGTAATTATACTTAGGGGAAAGAGGTAATTCATTTGAATTTTTTAGTTGAGTTTCTCATAGATTGAAATTGGAACTTTCAGGGGTTATAGCTGAAATCTAACCTAATTAAAAATAATGTATGTAAATATGAACAAAACAATTAATGAATTGTTGCCAAATGGAATTATAGTATGATGACATGTAAAACTTGAATTTATAAGAAGCTTCTAGAATACTTAATATTTACCTTTAAAAGTAGTTTCTGTAATTACCCACATCTATTGTTAAAAATATCAAAACATTTTTTCTTACAGTACTGAGGTTTAATCCACATCCTTATTCATGCCAGGGATGTGCACTACCACTGAGCTACATCCCCAGCCCTTTTGTTTTGAAATAGGATCTTAAGCATCTGACCCACCTGGGTTTGAATTTCTTTTCTATCCTATGATGGTTGTATGACCTTGGCAAATTTTATCACACCCTCGGTCAGTTTCCACTCTGAATTGAGAATAAGTATATCCATTTTGTAGAGTTTTGTGACATTAAATGTCACACATAGGTAAAACATTAATTTGGTACTCATACAGGATGGTTTGCTTATTTTTAACCATTCCATTTGGAAATACTCTGCTCCCTTTGTTTCTTTGTATTTTTCACAGTGAAGCTTTACTCACGCTCCCTTCAAAATCCCATTAGAATATTACTAGCTTTGTTTACCATATGGTGTCATTAAAAATTATGCATGATATGATGCTTTATGTTTTTAAGACAAACTTATCCTATTATGAAAGAATTGGCTCCAGGGGTGAAATGCTCATTTGATTAATAAATAGCAGGTTCTGTAGATAGTTCTGAAAGGAAGGGGGGAAAATCATCCTCTGTGAGCTTGGACACCTGCCACATGTAAATAAATCTAAGAAGGCTTTTGAATAGCTTCAGGGACAAATAGAGAAATTTTAAGCCTTAACAATACCCATAACTTACTCTATTTATTAAGAAGGTAACCTTTACTTTGAGGACTGTGTTTCTAAATGTTGGTAGAAACAATTAAGTCAGAAATAATTCAGTTTGATGA